GAATGACAAATACTCACAGGGGGAGTAAGACCACAACAAAGAGAACACAACAAATCTACGCTTACACTTAAATAGCTGTACAATTATGCATGTCTGCGTGAAATGACCGGTTGTCTAGATCGGCTGACGGAGATAGAGGGAGGTTAGTCACAATGGCATTTTGTGTGTGTGTGTGTGTGTGTGTTTTGATAAATGATGCCAATCAGGTGCAAATAATAGTTCACTTTAATATTCCCAATTGAGTTGGGGTCATTTTGATGTCACATGGCAGTTGTCTTAGCCTGTTTGTGTGTTTTTTTGTTGTTGTATTATTGTTTGTAAAAATGCTTTTATGCTGCCTTCTTAGACAGGTTTCCCTTGATAAAGGAGATTCCAGCCTCAAAGAGACTTTGTCCTGTAAATTAAGTGAAAGAAAAGACACATAAAAGGAATTTAATACACTAAAACCAAAACAATGAAGGGAAAAATGTTGGTGGGATGGATAATAATAGATACTAGGTCAGACAACAGTTGGTACCCTGGTCATTGCTGTAGGCTTACTGCTGCGGGGCTTCAAAAACAATGTGGAACTGTTGACTCACAGGTTAAAACAAGCCACATCTGTCTTTTTGTCCAGTTGTCATATCACTTTCAAAGTGCGTAACAAAATGGTTGAACATGTGCCATGAGTTACTTATAGTTATGCTATATGTTGTAACCAAACAAGCCACCAGTCTAAAGCTCTGTAGTCCTATAACTAGTGTTAATGATGGTTACAATAGGAGTTAAATGGTCACTAATGATCTGGTCTTTCAAAGGAGAGGATACAAACTAAACAATGTTTTATTATTATGATATTATGATATGATTTCTGATATATTTATTATTAGTAGTATAAGTACATAGTAGAGAAACAGAAGAAACATAGTAGATTTAACTCTGGGAACTCATTACGCCACCTTGTGTTGAGATTTAACTTTAACAACAAGCAAAATGTAATATGAGTGACTCACCATAGCAAGGCTGGAAACGATCAAACTGTGTGATAAACCTTACTTTAAACTTTCAACAAAAAAACACACCAGTTTACATAATATAAGTAGACTTAAGCATTTCATGTCTGGGTTTAATAAAGTTAACTTTTCAAGTGGAAACAAGCAATTTCTTACTCTGCAAATTTAAACTTTACCAGTTGATCTCTTTGTATTTATCTGTTTATTATATAGTGTAGTGTCACCTTAAACCACTAGAGGATGCTAGCTTCACAGAAAACCTTCATTGCACTTATAGATATTATTATAGACTGTTTATTGAGGTCATTAACAGTTTGTCTCAGCAGTATGTTTCCCACGCCTGTGTGTGAGTTCCTTTAATTTGTTCATATCTAGAAGTGTTAACTTAAACATTCAAATAGCTGCATTGCATGGGAGCAATGCAAAGCAGCACATAAAAATAGACCTAATAGATCCCATGAGACATCCATACAGTTGGAATTTCCTGGACAGCTGAGTACAGTAACAGGCTGCGGATATGATTGTTTACAACCGTCTTCACTTAGAAATGGACAAAATGTTTGAAACATCTTTCACTTTAATGCATCCGTGGCCTCAAAATGACCAGAGAGTTGAATCAACACCTCTCTGACAGTGTCAACAAAACTGAACATGGGTTTACAGTTGCAGGGTGATTGTATTGGACAGTGATACACAAATGTATTCATTGAAATAAACCCAGAACTGAGTATGGTGTATAGGTTTTACTGTTACAGTTATATGATGATAAAATTCCCCGCTGACAATGGTCAAGAACTATTGTTAAATAGATCTATGTGGCATGTGATGCTCTTTAAATACCAGAGGGTACAATGGGATGAAGTCATAGGTGATTGTGTTATCCTGTCCTGGGAAGATATGCTCTTTTTTCAATAGAAGGTTTCAAGGAAAGACTCTTCTACGTCAGCTGTGAGTGGCAGCTGTTTGGTAATTGGGACTTAGTGAGATTAGAGTGAAGTACAGGATGTTTGTAATAAAAGCCACAGAGAGACGGTCAGTCTAGGGCTGCACGATATGGTAAAAACATCATATTGTGGTTATTGTGATTTGTGATGTTTTTGTGCTATCTGATTGTATTTACCTGCTCCTTTTAAGCAATAGGTCAAGGTTTCACCAGCTTTTGCCCCTACAAAAGTTTATTAAAAAATATTTTTATTTTTATTCATCTTTTCATTGCACAATTGAGAAGAAATTAATTTCATTCAGAAATGTAGAGAGATGGTAGGTATATGTGATTTGCAACACCAACAGTTTATTCTGGCGGGGTTGATGACACACCACCTGGACATGATGAAAAGAAGAATGTGATTTTGACAATTTGAGCAGCTTGTTGTAGAAATTCAAAGAATGGCCATGAGACTAGGTTGAGAAATGGAGCTTATCAGCACCAGTGTTGTACTGCAATAGATAATAGCAGCGTCAAATAAACTCATTTAATCTGAACACAAATCATTTCTCTGTTTGAACAAATTCAAAGTC